CCAGAACATATAAGGGCTTTCCTCTTAACTGCATATATGCAGCTCTGATTTAGTCTTCCCCGAAACACATACACAATGTGTATGTATAGATATAGACATATACATATATATTCTACTCCCTCCACCAGGCCACAAGCAAAGTTGCCAGTTGGTAGGGAATTCAGTTGGAGCTGGAGAGTGGTGGGGATGCAAACTGTCAACAAGCCCAGCTAGGAAGGCTTTTTTGCAAGGGGCATAGCTGAATGCCCCAAGACGGCAGCTTCTTGGCCTAGAGGACAGTCAGTCACCATAGCCCCCAAGATTAAAAAAAAAAAAAAACTAACATCTGATCCTTCTGGGAATGTAGCCAAAATAAATAAAATCAAGATGTTTAAAAAACAACTACACTTCTATGCTCATTACAATAGCATTCCTAACAGCTGCAATAGGAAAAGAATCTAAATGAATAAAGAAAACATAGTATATACATGCAATGGAATATTAAACAACTTCCAAAAGAAGGAAGCTGCTACTGCTATCAGCACTTACATGAGGTATCTAAAATAATCAAACTCATAGACACAGACAGACACCAGTTGTCAGTGGCTAGGGAGAAAACCACTGTTGCTAGATGGGTATGATAGTTCAACTTTATACTGTGTACATTGGAGAGATCTGCTACCCAACAGAGTGCATACATTTGCTAAAAGAATATTATGAACTTTAAGAAGGTAGTTCTCATGCTGTGTTCTTCCACAAAAAGAAAAAGAAGTAATAACAATAAAACACAATGAAGCTTTTTGAGGTGTGGCTTCTTGCTTGTGGTGATAGTACCGTATTTGCAAATGCCTAAATTCATTAATCGTACACATTCAACATGTGTGTTTTTGTGCAGCAATCATACTTTAACAAAGCTATATAGTCATATCTTTGCAAACCGAAAGAATACCTTCAGAGGCAAAGTTAAAAAACAGCCCATATCTAGCTCATATTCTCCAATGACCCCATTCAACATGTGATGTTTTCCAATCACAGAAGCTATTCATTTTGATTATATAAACATATGTTTATATAATGTTCACAAAAAGCTAAAGTCATCCTCATATTTTATATTTATGGATCACCATAACACTCATGTTTATCTAGAATTTATGCATATATGCTACATAAATATCATATATTTATCATATATGTATATATTACATTTGTCTTTGTGTCATACACAACAACGGAGACAATTCAACAGAATCTTAGAGGCAGTACCCAGCAGCATGGCTTCTATACACTGAGCAAATTCTTACACAAAAAAGCAGTGTTTTCATGAACAGCTGTTATATTATAAGGCTCAATCTTAGCATTCTTAAATTTCTCATGCTATGGCAGGAATTTTCATCTTACACTAAAAATATATAACCACAAAAAAACCACTTTCAATCTTGTCCTTCAAATGGGGCTTGAATTTTAAAAGAAGTCATTTGAACTATACAAGAAATAAAATGCAAGAAAAATTGAAAAAAATTAATTTATTATAAGAAGAAACATAAACAATATTTGAGCCAGTGACTCAGAGAAGCAGTCCACAAAAGTTCATATCCACAGTCTATTGGCTGAGATGTACTGGCACACACAACCATACTAATGTTGTAAGATAGATCCCAAGGAAATGCTGTGGTGTCAAGACAGTCAATGCTAATGCTTATTTTCCCATTTACAACATTGAACAGATCACATTCACATTTAATTAATGCTTTGAATAAGCCATTTAAGTTGTACTGTACAATCATCAAAAGATGCTGTTACATTCTTTATAAAATATAATATCAAGACAATAAACTTATTTGCTACCAGAAGCACTTTCTCAGATCCACTGGCTCTTTTTTTTTCCTGCCAAGTACTAAGGGCTTGGGGGATATTTTTTAAATATTTATGCATTTATTTTGTGTGGGTGGTGTGGTGGGACAA